TTGTAATTTCCATAAAATGCCACCAGACGCTACATGTGTGTCATACTTTCAAACATTCTGATGGCATCTTGGCACGTTCAACTGCAAGCTCCTTCAAATACTCTGCGCCCTACTTAAGCATACTACAGACTGTAGGGATCGTAGTGGGCCAATCACAGGTTAAATGCATAAATCGAAGAACGCCTGTGGGTATTGGCTGAGTGCAAAGCCAAACAAATAGTCTTTGCAAATGCAGGTTTGACTGGAGAAGTTTCAATACTATTTAGTACTAGGTTTTTCGGTCGATACCGTAAAAGTACTGTTATCTAGCCTTATGCAACACACAGCATGGTACATTCCACATTACATAAATTAGAGTCTGAGATTTTCTGAATCTTTTGGTTCCTGCCGTGAGATTGTGTGAGATCGCCTGTGTGTGGTTGAATGACTAATATTACGTACACCAATAACCAAGCCTTGTCCCGTAACAGCACACCAGAAACTGTGTGTGCGTGTGTGTCAGGTGATACAACGGCACCTCCACAGAGCATTGTTCTGCCAGGTATGGTTCCATTGTGTGTTTGTAGGACAGAAAGTGCTGTGTTTACCCCAATCATGCACACCTTGAAACTGCCCCCATGGGAGCAGGAGGATGAAGAGAGTGTGTGTGCGTGTGTGTGTGTGTGTGTGTGTGTGTGTGTGTGTGTGTGTGTCTTTCACTTATCCACCAAAAGAGTGATTTATGTGTTGTTGGTTGAAGGTGTAAACACAGACAAGTCTGCGCACACACATTGTACATACACACCTGCCACACTTCACACGGCTCTTTTGCTTTCATCTGCCTCTAAGACGCACACATGCTCTTCAACTGCCTCATACATACACACACACTGATGAAGCACTCCTATATCCCACATGTTCTGTACATTAAAGTCACACCCACCCACACACACACACACACACACACAGATGCTTGAAGGCCCTGGGGGAGAAGAAGGCGCTGAAACTAGTTGTGTTGTTGGGTGTTGTCTACAGCTGGAGCTGGATCTAGTTACGGAGACACTCCCTATATCCTTCACTTCTATAGCTTGGACACACCGTGCATGATGTGCACACATGCGACTGACCGATCGACCCGTCTTTTTTTGGCAGAACTATGAACCACTCGCATGCAAGCCAGCAAACACACACACCCGTGGAGATTTCCTGCTTTACAGTACACCAGCATCCATTGGGTTTACAGTGAGGTTACAGTTCAGCAATATGAGAAAAAGTGTGTGTGGGAAAGAGAAAGTGTGTGTGTGGGTAAGGGTGGTTCCTCTCTGGTGGTTTGTCTCCCAATAAGAAGTGAACCGGTAGAGTGAGATTACCACAGATCACATCCAAACGTACCAACGTTCAAGTGAAATTTTGTTTGCATAACGATGATCACACTCGCTGTTGATCTTTCTCACTCTTTCCTTCCTTGTATATCTCTTTGTTTTCCCTCCACATTGGCCGTAACATTTTTCTTTTATCTTCCTCCAACATCTCCCCTACTTTCCACCCATCTTTCCCAGCGTCTGTTTTTCTCAATGCTCCCTTTCTCTCCCTCTGAGTTTTATTGCTCGTTTGAACAATCTGAAATCATTGCATGCGCCGCGGGGAAGGGCAGGGGCCCATGGGCCAGCTGAGGAAGAAGGAAGAGGGAAAAGAGAGCAAAAAAATGAATAATGAAGATACAGAGAAGAAAAACGAAGATGGTAGACTTAGGGGATCAAATAGACAAATAAAAAAAGGGGGAAAGAGGAATGAAAGAGAGGGAAAAAGGGAGGGAAATACTTATGTAAGGACAATGGGCCCACCACACCCGTGGGCCAAAACTCATGTCCAAAAAGATATGACCACATTACATGACACACCTATGTCACTGACAACATCTGGGGTGGCAAAGCCATGAACAATCACAGTACCGAGGAAGAGGAGCAGAGCTGCTTTTATTCATTCAGCTACAACAGATTAAAACAAGCAGATTACAGCAAAAGGTGAAATGAATTGACATGCCGACAGGGAGGCAGACAGGCTGGCAGAAGACACTGGCAATTGCACTCACAGACACAGACACGTATGGATGAGTAATGAGGCAGACTGGCAGAGGAAGAGGAGAGAAAAGGCAGAGGGAGAGAAAGATAGGTGAGAGCCAGGAGATGAATGAGGGGGAAAATGAGACAGTGAGATGAAGGCGATCAACACACAGACAGAAATCCAGACATTTATGTAAATGCATATTATATAGACATAGATAGATAGATAGATAGATAGATAGATAGATAGATGTCCTATGAGCGTGCGAGCAAAACATCTGCACACATACAGCTGAAGGCTGGGTTGAATTAATTGGAAAATAAATCATTACCTTGTGCCTTGGCGCCTGCAGCCAGCAGGCTTCCTAATAGCAGAATCCACAGGTATGACATCATGGGAACACGGTGTTCTGGCTGCGATTGAACCGGGGCTCAGACTCCCTTTCCACGGCCTTCAAACTGGACAATTAACCGGCCTGGGGGGCTCAGGTGGACCTGGAGGGCGTGTGTGCCGGTGTGCGTTCTTGCGCGTCGAATCAAACCCGTGGCGTCTCCAAGGTGCTCGGATGCTCGGCTCAGTGCGCGTCGCCGCGAATCTGTCGTCTTCTCCTTTTGTCTGGATTGGAAGAGAGAAGGTCCAGTCTTTATTAAGGTGGGCGGGTCTCTTCTCCCGAATACAGGCAAGGCGGACAGAAGGGCTGTGAAGGCATTGCTTCCACAGCAATCAGTAGCGCTTTACCATTCCTGTGCAATGACTGCGACCAACAGTTTGGGTGTATAGCTGTCTTTATTGGTGCGAGCAAAAAGCCTAATTATGCAGAAACTCCTTATGAAGCATATTCTTTCATTCAAGTCGTCGAGCAATAGTGGTTGTTCCCTTACAGTGAGATAAAGCAATAATAATGTGTCCATCTTTTGCATGAATAAAGTCTAATATTAATAACTGTGTCCTTTTTATTTTAATAAGCAGTCCAGTGCTGATATGATCCATCCCTCCTAAATGTTAATACACTGGAATAGGTTTAATGGCACTTTTAAAAAATAATCTCCCCAATCAGCATTTCTATCCTTATAAAACATTCTCATATAAAGTTTGCTATGATTTAGGGCGTCCGTGTTACTGTCTCACAGCCTCATGAGTCTATGATTTACTTGGATTTATTAAAATATCAGGTTTCTGAAGGGAACACTGAATTACTGGATTTGGAAATTTAGGGCTTTGGTCTGTTTTTAATGTTAAATTAATGCTAGGTTTCTATTTGAGAAAGAAACCACACATGACCTCATGCAAACCAACCAGTAGGTGGATCTGAAAAGAGAGCATGTTCCTTTCCTTTCCTCGGGCTCCTCTCCTTTTCATTACCACTTTGTTAAGCTGCTTCTCTGCCAAATTGAAGTGCTGTTGCTGGTTATGATCGGCAGGTGGCGCCAATCATGCATCATTTCATAGTTCACACCTTTGACCAGTCTTTTTCTATATGAGACGTTCAAATCCCAGTGGGTTCAAGGATTTGTCTGACCCTTCCCAGCTGTAGTGTACATATATTTAAAAGTCACGTTTGACAAGTTGATTGTATATAAACCATCACAGGGCAAATTTCCTTAGGTATCTTGGTATCTCAGCTGTTCATGTCCTCCTGAGACCTGAACTTTTGTTTGGTTTGCATTTCCAATTTCTCCTAGCTGTTTGGGATCAGTAGGACCTGATGAGTAGCCTATAAAAAAACTACACACTGTCAGCAATAATAAAGTCATAGTGTCCTCAAACGAGACGATAATACAGCCCCAACATCTTCATACTAGAACTTCCTATTGAACCGTCTTAGCTTGCTTCTGTTGCTAAAATGTTTTTTTTTTTTGGGTCATGTTAAACTACAAACATTATTAATCATAAATAAACAAGTTTCAATGTTAAAATGTGATCAGTTTTGTCCTCTTTTGTGTCGGGATCGGCTGTAGACTGACGTTGCAGAGATGGCTACCATCTTGTTTTTAACAATGGATTAGTGTAATGTGCTCTAACTACCACTAGATGGCACAAATAAGTGTCCACGAATGAGGACAACAGGTCTACGTTAGGCAGAATGAAGAATGATGTAAGGTGCAGTAAACATAAATGTGAGGGTCTCAGGAAGATATTGTACAGCTGAAGTGGTCGAAGGGAGAGGTATATTTGTAAAATAATTTTACAAAAGCATGGTTAGCTAGGTTGCATGAAATACTTCCTTCAAGAATTCCTTTAAAAACAATGATTTTTTTCTCTCAAATTGCTGAAAAAACAAAACAAAACAAAAAACATGTCAACAAAGGTTGTACATCAAAGGACCCTTTTCTCCCAAAACAACACTTAACTTAAATTGTTTTGGGAAAAAATACATAATTTTTTTCTCACTACCTCATTTAAATGTTATTCGTAAGTACAAGAATTATTCATGGAGTTAAAAAAAAATCATATTTAACAGTTGATGCACACGTCCACTTAAGAAAAAGTAGCTTAATAATATTACCATTAAAAGAAACTACACAAAATAAATACCCATTCCTGTGGGATTTGACATTTCATGCATGCTAGGATTTGACAGGGATCAATGAAACACTGTCACATGACTGTAAACATACAGAGACACACCCCTCTGATTCATTCACCATCAACTCAGGTGTCATGGAAAAAAACAAAACAGGTCAACGATTACATACGGGTGAGGCAGCATGTTACTTGACTTTCACACAGGTGAATCAACAGTCCGACCTTTAGGACAAGCTCATTAAACACGTTTCTTTCATCTTTTAGCCACAAAGACAAACAAAATGTCATGTGATCCAGTTTCGTACATGGAAAATCATCAAGCATCCTGGCTCTGTAATCTGTAAACACGGTGTGAAACCAGCGGTGCCACTTATCCTCATAACTGTCAGTATCGTCTTTGACTCATCATATCATAAAAAATGTAATGAAAATGTTTTTTAAAAAAGAAATGTTTATTAGTGTCTTAGCTCATTGATTACAGAAACATAAAAACAATCTCCCATTAAACACATTTATTATAAAAACATACATAAAGTCTCAATTTGGGATTATTTCAGTAAACTGATTGTTTATTCTGAAAGGGTGGGGTTAGCTGAAAGAAAATAATCCCTGCACAACTTTTTAAATGTCCGTTTTGCACCCATCTGTCCTCCTCAGCTGGATATCATTAAGGAAGCAAAGTCAAAATTCACTGTGTGTGGATATCTTACGTATTGAGCCAGATTCAGACGATCAGACATGTATGTAGTTAAAAGTTTCCACTATTTGGTCAGCATTTTTTTTTATAAACACTGACCTGAGGCATGCTTGGAACTCAGGTCTATTATTTAGTGCAGTAACTTAACATCAGAAAAAGACATTGACATCGGGCAGAGCTACTTTTTTGTCCCTCCCCTGGTGTACAAAAACCAATGTTGGTATAAAAGCTACAAAGCTTGACAGCAAAGAAAAGGCCAAACTACTCATCTGTATGTTCTGTGTGCTGCTTTTAACTAAAATTACAGTTGCACTTGGTAGATCAGGTAGTTTGTAGGGGCGCCATCATGGTTCAGTCTCACAAAAAGCCTCAATTAAGTGGTTCAAGAAGGCAACCAAACTGCTGCTGATGCCTTCATGACTGCATCTGACTCATCGCTCTTTGTTTTTGGCACAAAGCAAAAAACATAAAACAGTATCAATAACCAAACCCACCCCAAGCTTCCCACCCCTGATCCATACTATACAGACTAGTACTTGGTCATAAGCACTTTGGTCGGCTATCGGTCAATAACAGCATGACTGACTTCAGCATGAAGTATAGGAAACATATTTCAGGAGAAAGAGGAAAAGGAAGTGAACGTGTCGTGACTTCCTGAAGTGTGGTTCATGTTCCCTTAGCTGACATTTTTATTGAGTAGAATTTCAAAAGATTACACTTCTTACTTAAGGCTGGGAAGAAGTGGTAAAAGTATTCTTGTGGAAATGATTCCTGGTAACTAATCCCAGACTGTTTCCCCAGCGTCTGCCATTTTATTTCAGTGCACAGATATGCAACATTTGGGAAGCCTGGGGGACACAGTTCATAGATGCTCTTGCAAAGAGACCATTGGAATTTTTGCAGACATCAGCGTAGGTGACAGGCTAATCAAAGTAACAGTTAAATCCTTTAGTGTGAAATTGAATGTGTTTGAAAGTGTCAAAATCAAGGATGAATGTTGTTGGAGTTTTTTCAGTTTTTGCTTCCTTTCAAAATATTGTCTTCAGAGAGAGTATCGTGTCTAAAAGTAAAATATGAAAAGGCACAAGTAGGCAGGTAACTCTACAAAGAGTCAAATGAACCACTGTCTGAAATGCGCAGCTCCTGATTACTGTCAGGGTGAGAGATAAGTCAAGAGGCGTGTCAACAAGTACCGAAATACACTGCACAGCTGTTTCCACTGTGCAACTATTACGCATTATTAGTGCAGGATTTTTCTCTTGGACATGCTGTCAGTTGTGCAACACAGGAGAAAAAAAGTACAGAAACTTTGGATCATCTGCAGAGAGCAAAGAGAATGGTACTGTTAAGACATCTGGATTTAAAAGGCATGGATCCACCGAATGACTCTGACTTGGAAACTCTTTCTAAATAAATGTGTGTGTGTGCAAGAGAGAAAAGAGAATCATTCAGCGTGGCAAACAAAGTGAGGGCAGTATTTGGGCTCCCGTGGTCCAGCTCCATAAGACTGCAGTGTGGCGATTAGCTGATGGTCCCACTGTGGACGATCTGATTCACTATGGTTTTGGTGCAGGAGAGTGATCGGAGGGAAAGTGGCTCACATTTTGTTGAAACAGTCCTTGGCGTTGGACCACACCTGGATTCCCTGGAACAGAGTGAGTGACAGAGAGCAGGAGCAGTTTTGAAAAAGAGAGAAAGTGAAAACAAAACATTAATTTAGAGAAACAGACGGGGAGCTGAACTGCTGAAAATATCACCATCACAAAACGCCTGGCATTTTTAAGTAGGCAATTATACGACAACACACACTGTGGGTAAGAGCCCCATACCTTCTTACACATGCTGATCTGCATAATGGCATAGCTGATCAGTGCTTCACGCAAATCTTTGTCCTTCTGCTCCTTAAAACGTTCAATGTCTTCCCAGGCAGTTCGCACAAACTCTCTGAAGACACAATCACAAACAAAGACACACGCTATTGTCAGTCATGTTGTGTGGAACAGTAGGTATGGGGGAAGGTATACAGAAGAGAAAGTAGAGGAAAAAGGACAATTTGTGGTAACTGGCTTGTTACTCCTTTCATAATAATAACAATAACACATTTTATTTATAAGCGCCTTTCACGTCACTCAAGGTCACCTTACATGCAAAGATAGAGAAAATGACAGCAGATTAAAAAGTCAACAAGGTAAGCAATAAGGTAAGGATGTGTGTGGCTAGACGGATGAAGTCAAACTGAATAGGCTGTTTGAAAGAGGTGGGTTTTGAGGCAGGATTTGAAAGTTGAGAGAGTTGATGCTACAAATGTCTGGTGGGAGGGAGATCCAGAGGCAAGTGGCAGAGCGGCTGCAGGCTCTAGACCCCATAGTGGTCGGGCGGGGTGGCGGGACAGTGAGATGGAAGATGGAAGAGGAAGACCTGAGAGTGCCGGTAGGGGAGTGGGTGTGCAAGAGTTGGGAGAGGTACAGGGGGGCTTGGTTGTGGATGGCCTTAAAGGTGAGAAGTATGGTGTTGAAGTCAATGTGGTATTTAACTGGGAGCAAGTGAAGCTGCTGAGGGACATGAGTGATGTCATTGATGGAGGGGTTTCTGGTGATGATGTGGGCAGCAGACTTCTGGAAGAGCGAGAATGGCAGTACTGTGTGGTGTGAGGGATGGGCGAAGGCGGTTAATACAGGTGGTTTTTGTTTTCAAAATAGGTCAGTAGTATTACTGATGTCTTTTAAATCATATACAATACCTGAATTTGACTCTGGGCTACCTGACCTAAGATTCAGAGTTTCATGGGAGTAACCTCACCACCACTTGTGCTTGGAAAAAGCAATCAGGTATCTGTTCTCCTGTTGTTGATAATCCCATCTCAACATTTGCAACCAGCCATGTTCCTTCTCTTTAAGGGGTAAAACTATTAAATATACAAATTAAGGGCAAATTGTGTGCCTAAAAATTAAACCATATACTGTATTTCCAACAGAGGAAAAGAGGTAGAGGAAGAGACATCCAAGACAAAGAGTGGAATAATTTAGAAAAGGCAGAGGACTGAATAATTGGTGTTGATCTTACTGGCACTCTGTGTTCTTCTCCTTGACCATTTCCTCTCCCTCCTGGATACTCTGCTCCAGAGCTGCCAACCTGCTCTCCCTCTGCTCCTGGCTCTCTTGGCCAAACAATTTACTGGTCATTCCCTTCAGAGAGAAGACACGTACTGTCTACACACACACACACACACACACACACACACACAAATAAATTAATTGATTCACTGATGTTTTCATCAAATAAAATGACAAATATGTTATTAAATACATGCCCAATTCCGGTAATCTATATTACTTGTGCGTAATCAAATGCAATTATCACAACAGAGTTGACAGACTCATTGTGTGTGTATACCACTTGTGTACTTTGTGAGAAAGTGAGAGATAAATGAGTGTGTGAGTATTACCCCAGTGACCAGCTCTTCTTTCTGTTGTTTCTTATGGACGAGGTCCTGAGCTGCCATCTCCAGTTCATACTGGATCAACTCGTGTTTCCTACATACTGATCTTAAACACACACACACACACAGAAATGGACACATGATTAAAAAGTTTATTAAATTTTAAACCTCAAAATGTAAGATCCTTTTTCCATTGTTGCATTCTGTTTCTAATATTACAATAAGCATCAAACAGAAATGACGCTTCCACTGCCACTAGTAATAAATTGAGACATAGCTGGTCTCCATCCAATCACGGAGCCTTAACATCAGTGCTCTTGACAACATGTCTGCGTTACATGCCCTGCTAACAGATGGTTTACATATGCTTTAAAGCATTTGCATTAGCGCAGCAGCATGTTGCTTTGTTCTGAATATAACGATAGAGAAAAATGGCAGCGTGAGGCGGAAGCACACAAGTCTACTGTGCTTTTACTACAGACAGCTCTAAACCTGACGAAGAAAAGCTTTAACCAAACATAAAAATATGAGCAAAATGGAGTGTGGCACAGTGGGTAATGCTCTGCCAGACATCAACAACGATCAATACCCTTAACCAGGAGGAGACACGTCCTTCATTTGTCCATGAAACTAGGGCTCTAATAATGATTATTTTTATTGTCAATTATTCTGCAGATCATTTTTGTGAATATCAATTGATTGTTTCCAGTATAAAACACCAAAAACAGAGAAAAATGTTTACTGAAACCATCAAATGTTTGTATTTTTTGTATAGATGGATTCCTTCAATTCACTAGTACTCCTGTCTGCTTCTCCACACTGAGGACGTGCCGGCTGACATCTACTGCAGGTAATACACTAACTATGGATAAGCACCTTATTCAACCCAAAAAAATCTTAACTATCCCTTTAAGGATCACCTCCTCCTGAGCCTGATGTAATTTGAGTCAAGCCTCAAAGGTCAGAGTTAGCTACATAACAAACAGTCAAGAAAACTCAAGCAGGATTAATATACTTCTGTATGATGCTTTAATGTCAATGTCACTTCAACTCATACAGTATGATGACATTACAAATGGTAATAAAGTGTGCTGACTTGCAATCTATTCTGACAGCTTGTCAACAGCAGTAAGAGCATCAACTAAATTGCTTGGCCTTGGATATGCCTCCCTCTCTTTTAATAATAAACAAGCACTTACCTAACAGCGTCAGTGTAGAAAAGGTATTCTTTCAGCTGGTCTGCATAGTGCTCTTCTTCCTCCAGAATGTCATCTATTGATGCAGCATACCTGTGCACAAATTGCAACAAATGCAAACAAAACATTATGTGTGAGAACATGTTGAAGTTAGCAGTTTAATGACTGGTCTAAAACTGCTTTAGTAAGCACATTTAGGTGTAGGCTACAATTTGAGTGCGTGAGAGGGTTACACCAGTTGAAGAGTGTCTTTAGTCTACTTACGTGTCCATGTGGTGGCCAGCGCTCTGTAGTCCGTCTCCCATCTCTTTCTCAATGGCACTCCACTCACTGGAGACACAACAGTTCAGGTGTACTTAACTTGAATACTACAACTCTCTCTGTTCAGTCCATAAAGCCTCTTATGAGTAGTAACAAGACAAAATGGTGCTTTGTGTGCTACTATTTGCTCATACATGTATACTGTGTCTTCATGAAGCTTCCAAGGTATTTAGCAAAGCATCTCAAACATACAATTTCTGGTGAAAACAATACTTAAACAAAACAAAATGGTGAAGAAGAAACTTAGCATCTCCATGACTAAGGCCCTGATCACACAGAACGCATTTTAGCAGCTGGAGGCACCTTATTGTAATTGTTTTTAATGAGAATGAAGCTTTTTGCCCGCAGTTTTTGCGTTGCTAAGTGCTCTGAACTCCTCGAGTTGAAAACACTTAAACTCAGAGCAGAAAAATGCTCCACATGATCTCTTTTTTCGTCATCTTTTTTCCCCATTGTCCAATCAGATGATCTGAGAGGAGTTTACAGTTGGTAAGCAATGGAGGAGAGGCTGTTGGTACCAGTTGCTGGATACCCAGAGCTTTATGGCCCGACGAGGACAGCAGGTTGTCAAACTGTCCTCGAGTCATCCTAAAATATGCCTGGAAACAGCCATCACTGAGGAGAAGCTCCTGGACCAAGTGGTGGTACTCCCTGTGACCCACCCTCTTTTTTAGGGTCTCATGTACCCACACAGATCTCAGTTTCCCTATGCCCAAAAAACAATTTGCTGACAGCCTCTCACCCTTAACCAGGGCTAGAGCAAGTACCCTCTGCCTGAACATTTTAGGAACTAGCCAGGAATTACTGTGAAATAAATAAATAAACAGCAGATTGATTACACAGAAAGGTTAGAATAAGGTGAGTCTGTGGTTGCCTGGTAACGATTAAAAGGCGCAGCGAGCGGTTATTTTCACAAGTGGCATTTAATATATTTTTTTAAAAAATGCAGTGTGGTGTTTTCTGTGTGATCAGGGCCTAAAGGAATGACCTTGCTGCCTCCTTTAATGCTAATTCATCAGTAAGTATTGTACATGTAGAAGTTTCCTTATGCCAAAAAATGGAAAGTCCATAAAGCACCACAGCGAAAAATGCTTTATTTTGTTTAAATGTGGTGCTCTCTTTAGGGCTAAAACTATGATTTTATTAATGTAGAAATGCAGAAACAACAGAAAAGGTGTTGCTCACCTAAAGACTCTGCCGTAGTTACCATGGACCTTGTAAACTCCATACAGCCTGTCTGCTACTTTCTAGAGGAAAGACAATCAAATCAATTGTTATTACATTATAGAGATAGAGTTGAAGTTATTGATGAAGACAGCCAAACATCTAGCGAGCTAATACCCACCGATTTCTCTCAGGAGTTGGCAGATTAAATGTCAGTGAAATCTGGATGAACATGTTGCACAACACAGTATGCAAAAGATACAAACCACTGGCCAAACCTAAGCAGACAGTTGAAAATACGTTTGGGTGTGTGTCTGTGAGTGTTTGCATGTGCCAAAACTTACCGCCCGCACCCTCAGTAACTGAGAGATGACAGTGTTCAGTTCATCACTGTAGTGTTTCAGTGCTGTGAATCGCCTGTAGAAGAAATGGATCATAACCTCATAAGCGTTTCACTGAATCTGAGCATTTCTTTGTGTTTCAGTTTGTATTGCTTTGACGTGTGATGGTTGTATAAAAAGAAACTCTAATTATTATACTTCTTACTACTTGTTTAGCCACTGGGATCTATATATATATATATATATATATATATTTATTATTTTTTTTAATCAAGTCTACTCACTTACACCTCTTCAGAAACAATTTTGTGATAATTCAGTGATCTGACAATCTCCTGCTTTGTGTAAATCACGGTAAAATGTATTATTGACAAACAAATACACCTGGAAAAAGCTGCTTTACACCTACTTGTCAGGGTTCTTGACTCTGAACATGGCACTCAGAGACTTCAGTCTGGAGTCAACCTGGTAGGGAACAGAATTACACTCATCTCCAGGGTTTTAATTTGCATTTGGCAAGATGACAGGATGCTGCTGATAAGATCTAATTTGCCTATCATAAAACAAGCCAAGTGACTGAAACACTGACAGTGTCAGTTAACAACAAACTCTCAGTCAGCAGTTCAGGAAAAGAGGAACTTGGTGGATGTTTGTAAACCAGTTAGACAATGAACTACTATCCAACTAAAACACGAAGGAGGTAAAGTAAAACCAGCTGTATACCTTGTCTTGGAAGCCTGTCTCCAAAACTGCCTCCCTCCATCCTTTCTCCTGAGGACAGATAACAGACACATGACAGACAGGATTATCAACCAAACTGTGTAAGAGTGGGGCTTTTCAGCCTACAACTGCACTACAACAAAACACCACAAGAGGTTGCACTGGTCTGAGCATGCTGCCAACGGTTACAGGGAGAAGATGAAGTACAAATCAAAGGTGGATCAAATGGCAATGCTCTGCACAGCAGGATTTTATAACTTGGGAAAGTTAACCAGGGCAGCAAATTAAAATGATGTGCTAGGAGGTATCTTCCTGGTATGGAAGCAATAAGTCTGTGGCAGAAATTAAAGGCTTTCTCATTTATGCCAATGAGATCACTGTTTGGGTTCAGCCTCCATTTTTTTCCACTGCAGTATGATATCCCTTCTGACTGGAACTGCCCTTTTATACTTCTTCTTTCTGTAATGTCCCACCAGTGCAGCCTCGTGCATCGTATTGCCACAGTGCTACTGTCAGTTTGAAATCCCTGTAAGACTGTGAGTGTGTGAGAGAGTGTATGTCTGCATATGTATGGTGGAATAATTCATTGGGACAGTATTTTCAACATAATGAGTAATAGTTAATTTGCTAACCTCTGTCAGAAAGAGGAAGAAGATTTTGTCATTGGAGAGGACAGGATGTGATGCAACACGCAGCAGGAAGTTTTCCAGGCCGACTCTCCGTCGCTCGACAAAGTCTGGGTCGAGGTTGTCTGCTGACAGCTTATGCCACACAAACTCTGCCTGCAAGAGTCACAATCCAATGGGTAAAAAAAATAATACCATCTCAAAAGACAAGAGTGTATTCAAGCTACAACCAAGAAGAAACTGAGAGCAAACAATAGCTCCTTTTCCACTGCACAAACATCCCATTAACACCCGCTAATAACTGGCTTTTTAACACAACAGGAAAGGTTTTAATCAGCATTCACACCCTGGTGAAATTACTCTGCAGTAGACACAGGTATTCATCGCCTCCGGCTCCGGTCAGCATTTGATGGGAATAGGGATGCACCGAAATGAAAATTTGTGGCCAAAGCCGAAGCCAAATAATATTAAACGCTTGGCCGAATACCGAGTACCAAATACCAAATATCGTTGTTTAGTTTTTCATTAGTTTTTGCAGATGAACCCCCTCCAGATTAGTGAAAATTGGGACCCACTGTACGATACCAATGAAAATATCATGGTTCTGAGTAGTATCAGGATACCACAGCGAAAATGAGGCAGATTTGCCTTTTGTCATTTGTAAAAAGATAAATCACTTTTCTATAATACATCAATGATATTTTAATGGAATAAATTACTTATTGACTTATTCATACTTCAAAAACAGCATCAATAAGTGATTAACATAGGGGGGATCAAAATAAAATAAATAAATAAAATAAGAATCAACCAGCCACCCTCCTCCCCTGACAGTCCCTTCATAAATAAAGAACAGTCCCTAAAGTGCGGTGAGGTTTGTCGGCCGTTACCTGCCACAGAGGGAGAAATGTGAACGGCTCGTTTCTCCTCTGACACATCACATACCTGTGTTCGGCTGGCTCGGCTGTTCAGGTACTTCTGAGCAGTCATGACGCCAAGAAGAGAATATTATTGGAGCCGACTTCTCCGTCGCGGTAAGCCGATGGCCGCCGTACTTGACAGGAATACATTACTGTCTGTGTCTGTGACCCCCGTTCAACCCACAACCGGTGGGATTCGCCTTTCGTTTCTGCTGATGGTTGAAATCTGTAGGCTGCTCGCACAGCGTGCTGAATGATTTTAGCCTATTTTGCTTCACTCAAAACTATTTTTAGTCGCAAATGCGAGTGCGGTGATGGACAGATCGCCACACTGCCGACATTTTACTCCGCCCGTCACGGCACACTGTTTGATTGCGTTATCAAAACACGCCGCTATTATTCGGCCTTGCTTTTAACTTATTCCACCGAATACCGAATGTGTGTTTTTTTGCAATATTCAGCCGAATATATTAGGTTAGCGAATATTCGGTGCATCCCTAGATGGGAACACAACACCCAGGCGAATGCACTGATTTTACCTCCTTAAATGGCGAGATGTAATAACAGGCTGTCACAAAATACAGTCCGTCTCCGCCCAAGCAGCGCTCAAACATCAATCAAATTAGTCTGCACCATGTTTGAAAGAGAGACTGGATACTAAGAGATATATTAAGAGGTAACATTCATAGAGTTGACATAGGCCTCTATGCTACTCTCTAGTGTTTACCTGTTCCCTGGCCTGTCTGTAATGTCAAATGTGACACATCAAAAAAAAAACCACACACACAGAAAGGCATGCTGGTATGCCCCCGAGACCCTCTCATCTGCTGACAATGGGATTGGAGTCTAAAGTCTATTTTTAGGAGGTTTACCCATGTTCAAAAAACCTGCATGCCTGTAATAAATTTGGTGTAAAACGGACATATGAAAGAAAGACTAAAGAAATGTCTCTAACCAACTACGGAGAAAGTGGCTGTATAACAAAAAGTCCTTAGTTATAACCAGTAAATTCATTACATTTAATACATTTCATAATATGTTAAAAAACTATTATACGTATGTGTCACTCACCCTTTTCTCCGGTAGTGGAGGGATGATAATGTAGGGGTAGGTGACCAAGAGGTATGTTCTGAGCAACTCAAACTCACTGTAGCGTCTCCACAAAGTGTCAGGCGTGGCAGGCGTACCCCCCTCTAGAACAGTTTCGGCTGGCCTGCAGAGGGAGGAATGGGAACAAACAGTATTGTTAACATGTCATCACATAAATGGTAAGACATTTGAGTCATTGTTCTTGTTGAAAGCAAACTGAGACACAGAATTAACAACATATCACATCTAACGTCAACTTGACAGTGGCCTTTTGTGTGTAGAGAAGGGGAGAAATAACCTTGTCAGAGGCATTGTGATTATTCAGCACCTTTGGAATTCAGAGAGCTAAGTGCCAGCTGAATAGTCAAGAAATGAATACATATTATATTCAAAGAGTAGGGGGTCTGACAAGGTAGTGAAGAAATCAGTGCAAGCTACTCTGTGCCTTGATCTTGTTTCATTTAGCCAGCTTGTATAAGCTGTAAATAATCAAATCACAGCAACAGCAGCATTAAAATATAATCAAATAATAAGATACCCAGAGAATACCAGACCTGTTAGAGGCAGCCAAACTACATCCCTTCAGGGAAGTATTTGACTTAATTACTCTAAGGACATTAAGAATTATGCTGTTAAAAGAAAACATGCCCTGTGTGGTTTTAATATTGCTGAAGTGTAGGAGTAAGTGGTCCCACTCCACTCTACTTGTCACTGCTGTTTGTGTTTCTGCACCACTGTATTAATCTGTTTGCATATGCTGCAACACCTATGCCACAACTGAGGTGATGAAACTCAAAAGTTGTTATGTATTGCACAAAGTAGGTGTAGGTAACACAACGACAGAACGAAACCCAGATGCTCCAGTTGATAGCTTACCGTGTCTCTATGAGGTAGACTGTGTAGGTTTCCTGCATGTTAACCGTGTTCTTCCCCGTTCTCTTCTCTGACTCTGCCACGTTTATCTCCATTTTTCTCAACAGAGCTGTCCCTTTTTCAACCATCTACAGAGACAAGACAAAATAATGTGTGAGCATGAGTAAAAGAGAATGAGAAAGTAAAACATAAATGATAAAAGACAAACATATAAGGTAGAAACAGAAACATAACAGCAGGTAAACAGACAGGTATGTGCAAGGTATGAATGTGGTTTTCAGGAGAATAAGAACAACAAAAAAAGACAAATTAATAAAGTTGTATTCTAGTATTTTCTAAACAGACTGACAAGCATGAAACCAGGTGGACACAGAGGAGTGGGCCGCTGCTGTGCAACTGAAGACAACTTACTGCAACGTTGACAATGCTCTGCAGAGGATTATGACAGGCGTGTGCAGGTCACAAGACAAGGTATGACAACACTACCACCACGAAACACTACAAAAGTTGCTTATATAGCAAAAAACTCTCCTTCCTCACCAGCAAACACGGTTACAAGGACTGGAGTTGCAGGACACAAATACGACCCTGGCTAACTTAAACTAACGTTAAACTAAACTTTAGGTTTAGCTTTCAGACTTGCTAGCTAGCAAGCTAACAGCAGTAGCAAAAGTTTACAAAGTAGCTTCGGACACTGTTAGCATAAGCAACTTTAGCTTACTTTCTCTCTCTAACGTTAGCTTCTAGAGCTTGTAGCTAATTTAGCTTTGAAGGTACTTCTAAACACTGCAAATGCTTTTTGAAGAGGTGAATGGAAAAGTCTGTGTTGTCTGATGTCACTAACTCCACCTAGCTAGCATGAAGCTAGGCCTGTTTGGAAAAGTTTTCACCGGTAAAACCTGGCTTTAAAACTCCCAAAATGTTAAAGAAGAAGGTAGGAAAAAGTACCACCGTGTTTATGATGTTGTTCTCGGATTCTGCCGAAGTGATGTCGGTGTTACCGATCACAGCCACTTCTTCGGTACTTCCAGAGTCTGCCATCATCATCTGGCTGCCGAGGTGCTGCTGTTGTCAGCTGAGCTGGCAGAGTGGTTACTCTGCTGTGCGCATGCGTTGCAGACTGAGGACAGTGATCAGTGATCTTACTATAATTTTTGATACAACTAAATTAATGGTATTAAAATATCAGTGTCCATTCCATTATAAACAGCTTAAACAAGTGAAAACATTTTAATAATATTGATATAATAAAATGAATTAGAATAATAGATAAATTAATTAATATATGCTATCCACAAGTGTAAAAAAAAGGTAATATCAGCATCATTGCTGGCAATTATAGTCTAATTTTATAAAATACCATGATATAATGTAAAATGCAACAATGCAGAGAGATGAGATCAACTGAGTGCAAGTAATCAGACCTTGAATATGTCCTGAAATTGCTCCATCATTGCAAGTGACCCTGTAACTTTTCACTTCAGCACAACTAAACGGTAACATACATGTGCTTATGTGCAAGCATTACAAAATGAGTTGGGTTAGCCAACACGATTACGGTTGAAACTGGTGCACATTTGAAGCAGATCAGCTGATGATTTCTGAAAGTTTCCATGCAGCTGTGTTGAATTGCTGAACCCAATACCCTCCTTTGGCATCATTTGCATCTTCCTTTGACGCCTTCCTTTGCCAAGACTGACATCTACTGGTGGGATTTTGGTTTTGGATTTGTTTATTTCCATTTGGAACCCAGAACCCTTATTTTGTTTGGTTTCTTATTTTTGGCAACTTTGGAAAAATTAATGACCCTTAAATATTTGAGAAATGCCCATTACCAAATGATTCAGTTTGCAGAATCTCAAAGGTAAATGTGTGATACTTGTGTGTTGACAGCTACCCAACCTAAGCAATGATCCTAGATTGATGTTTTACCATGCTGTCAGATACCCTTCAAATCAAGATGGTGATTTTGTCATCTCAAAAAATGATAGGTGTCACACAAACTCTACTTTCTCTGACATTTAATCATTGCTTTCATGATGTTTGAAAACAGAGTTCTGAAAAAGGTGCCATAAGTGATTTCCTCACTGCGGTGATATCATTTGGCCCCTCTCTCATTGGTTGTAGATGGTTGTGGGCCCAGATGTGAATGAGAGAGATGCGGTATGCCTCAGGCTAGTAAACAGCACAGAAACACGGCCTTTTAGTTCCTGTGGTCACGCTGTTGTGCAGCGTTTAATGTTTAAAGAGAAGGGTGGAGCAGCATTTAGTAAGGAAGCATTTTATATAAATGCCGCTGGGCATGCAGTGGGGTGCTGGAGTAGTGGGAGGACGAAAAACAGATACAAAGAGAGAGAGAGGCAAAGGAATACATACGAGAGGGGAAAAAGTATAAAGGTGAAATTAATTAACATAATAATCTAATTGTGAAATGATCAATGACACAGAAGCAGCAGGTATGGGTGGATGGATGGAGTGATGGTGGGATGCGGTTTCAGGCTGCAGCGTGTCAGGAAACCCAAAGCTCTGCGATGTGACCAGCCGTAGTCACAGCAACAGCATAGTTACCATTCTTTCCTGCCACTGACCTCAAACCAGCCACCACCACTTCCTGTCCGCACACACGGGCACGCACACACACACATATAGACACACACCTCTGGCCCTATTTGGCTGGCTATAATCGGCCGTTATGACAACTTTTTGAAACCTCTGACTAACGTTCTTGAACACTAAGCTATGAATGGTGTGTGTGTGTGTGTGTGTGTTTCTTCCTGTCTTGTCTATATTTGGCAGCTCTGGCCTAAAGCTGCTGACTATAATTTAGATGGGTAGGTGTGCATTATACACTGATTCATGACATTTATGTCATACTGCCTGGAGACAAATAAGAATAATAAATACTTATAGTCTGAATATTTGAGCCTATATGCCAAAAGGCAAATTTAAAAACAGCTGATATATTACTATTACAAATGATTTTTAAACATATAATGGTGCTTTTTAATGTATGTTTTTGCAGCTTGAAAAATCTTTGTGGTTTATTTGACTATCATCTGTCACTGAAATATATCCCCTCTTTCCTTTGTACGTTCAGTGGTTAGAGAAAATGATTAATCTGTCTGTTGAATTTTGACTGCTGAACAGAAGAGGGCAGCAAAAATCCAATATTGCTGAACAGCAACCTGTGGCACAGCAGCATGAAATTCAAAATCAGCATGCACCGCACTACATGATAAGTTTTGGCATACTGTGTGATATGAGTATGAATGAGCATAATAGGTCTCTTTCACAGCAGACATTTTGAAACACACAGGTGTTACTAATAACATGAACAATGGCTCCTGTCTATCCAAGTGTCCCGGGAAGCCACAACAGTGCTACACAAAGCCAGCATTTACAATACCAAGACCCTGACACATGGAATTCAGCCATCATTAATTTTGTGATTTACAGTTGTGTTTTTCCTACTGTGACATGTCAAAATGTCTTCTATGAAAAAGGCCTGGTGCTGTGATTTGTTAGGCCTATATATTGTTATGTGCTTGGCACAATTGAGAAATATGAGCCATTGTAATATTGAATAGGTTGTCAAAGTATCACACTATTAACATTCCTGTTTATCAGAGGAATTCATGCATAAAATTACATTACTGTGTGTCAATATGAATATAGTGTATACATATACTCCACATATACTATGGCTGGTTTCACCTCTCTTATCCAGTTCTTAGTGGATATGTACAAGGACAGCAATTAGTGAGTATTAGTGAGTATAACAACCATCATACAACCAAGTATACTATATTTGGGGTGTGTATTTGTTTACTCCAAGTCATTTAACATAAAATTTTTAACAAAGAAAACTACATACCACGTTTATCTTTACTTAGTTGGGGTCTCATTACTGTTGATTGGCACCTTTTTGTCACTGCATGTTTCAGATGTCAGTTTTCAGGAGCCATTATCAAAACTAGACAACTTTATTCATGCCTTCTCCCCTTCCTGCAATGTAAAGTTATTTGTGTTGTTTTTTTACGTCTTTACATCTAAATGTTTTGTATCATTTTAAGTAATTTCATCATTGCTGCAGATCCATTCAAATATTTGTTTGGTTTTTTTTTTAATCATAGGAACTTTTTAGAAAGTTTAACTTTACGTGCATGTGTGCGTGCTGTACACAAGGCTGGTCACGAAGGTCATAAAGAGGAAGTCCTTGCGGTCAGTAGAAAGGAACACATGTTTTGCTTCATGTCATAGTCTGCGTCCTTCATTTTCCTCTCCTTCATCCATCTATTCTTGCCTTTGACCGTGGTGGAAAACTGTAGCGTGTCCAGTGGGGCTGTATTTGTGTGGGTGAGCCTGTATAGTATACAGAGTGTATGAAATGTCATAATGAAGTGAAGCCTCGTCGGTGCTGTATTATGTTGCTTATTTTTACCTTTTCCCAGGCTTTCTGTAGACCTCCTGCACATGGGATTTTTTAATGTATTTTTATGTTGTTTTCCCAGTGATGTTCAAGTAATGTCTATTTTAACAGTTCTTAATGTTTTAATCATATAAGTGACCCTTATCAAGCTTCACAATTTTAATTTAGTTGTACACAAACTTGCCTCATCAAACCTTGACCAACATTCAGATCAATTAACAAATGATATGTAACATTAATATTTGATAGCAGTATTGCACATTTGTGATATGAAAATTTGAAGACTAAGTCGACACAATGCTCATAGATACCCATAACAAACTCAAACGCAGATCAGATTTACCCCTGTTTAAATACTTATAATACTTGCACCAAATCAACATTGCTGTGAAAATTATTTTCTTCTTTCCCATTTCTTCCACACATTTTAAAAATTTCCTCTGGTTTCCCTCTCCCATCCATCACCAGAGTGTTGACAAATTAAGACGTGCAAGTCTCATTGAACGCTTCTCTGCATGACTGATGCTGCTCTCCAACAAGCTCACACATGCACACTTGCATGTGTACTCATTTACTGTATATGGGCACTTAGTCTCGCACACACACACACACACACACACACACACACACACGCAAACACACATGCAGAGTGTGAGCAATGCAGTATAATAAGCAGCGTGGCAGCAATGTGGTCAGCTTTGCCCCATGTGCAATCGTTGAGAAGCCACATGAAGGCTTCTGGGTATTAAAGGACAAGCCTTGGTTGGCTGGGAGGGAATCTGTCATGCAACAAGAAAACTGTGTTTTTCACCCTTTTTTCCCTCTTTCATTTCTCCTCAATCCCTTTTTTCTTCACCCCTCTTCCCGAGTTCTGTCTTTCACCAAATTCTCTCTCTCTTTCTCTGCCCACTTTTTTTTTCTTCCTTCTTCATTTCTTTCATTCTGTGGCGTATTAGACTCAGTTGTAATACTCTCCAGCTTAAAATGCTTAGACCACTGGAATGTTCCGTCAAAGAGGTGGGTGGAACCGAGGGGGCGGGACAGACCAACATGACCAATTAAGGAGGAGATTGAGGTAAGACGGACAGCTTCTAAATGGTGTAATAACAACCTACTAAAATGTAATTACAATGCAATAGCAATAGACACTTCTAATGACAGGATGTATATGCCAATGTGATTTCCTAATTATGGCCTTGGTATAATGGGTGACTGTTAACATGGCGTGGAGATTATAGAGAGGTGTCTGAATGCAGAAATGCAACCACAGGGACTTGTTACAGTGTGGAATGGTCACTCAAAAGTCCTGCCAAGTATCGATCACAACAGGTAACTTAACGTGTTTGAGAGGGCGCCTGAGAGTCAACGAGTTCATTAGTGGGAATTTGAGTGTGTGCTTTAATATGTTCACTCACTGAGCCGGGTATCCAGATGTCCATTCATGTGTCCATCCATTCAATCTAATCATGTGTCCATCAAGAATCTATCTGTCTGTTAATTCAGGTTTTTGCCTTTTGTTTGACCTATCCCTGTGTCGGTCCAACTTCATTCCTCACAAAGCGCTCACGTCCATCGACTGTCCATCTGTCTTTCGGTCTGTCCTTATGTGATGCTGCCATCCATCTGTCCATCCATCCATCTCCATCCCTC